GGAAAGTTGTTCCACTCGAGCACAAGACTCATTCTCACCAGAAAAGCACCTTCAGCACTTCTGAGATATGAAATGAAAATTCACCTCCTGCTTGAGCTGCTGATTTGCCCCCAGAAGAGCTCCAGCCTGATTTTTTTTTCTGGAGGGGAGGGAGGGTGTTGAGAGATTTGACTACTGAACAGTGCAGTCAGCAGCATCCCGAAAGGGCAGGTTTAGGCAATAAATCTAGGATCCCATTTACCAAATGGCTTCTGGGCACCCTCATTTCAAATGCATAGCTACTAATTTTGACAGAGCAACTTGGCATATAGAGAAACTCACAAAATATTCTTTTCTGAGGGGGTCCTCTTGTGAAAGGGGCAAGCCTAGATGAAACCAGAACAAAGATACTGAAAGGGACTGTGTCCTTTTTAATGTACAGCTGCAAGAGCCTGTCGAAAAACCTGCTGAATTATGTCCTGCCCCATGAGCTCGCTGGGAATGACTGGCCAGCATCAGTTTTGTATGGCCAGACACCATTGTCCTTTCATGCTAATGACATTATAGTCATGACAAAAGGTTCCTATTGTTGCTTACTTTCTAGTAAGGGTATCCACACAGGAAGATAATGCATGTTATCTCTCTTTGCCCCTGTGAACAGCAGAGCTTGCGGGACACCCTGGCTCTGCCTACACCTTGCCTACACCTCCCTCATCTCCCAGAAATGCAGTTGTAGGTGAACTGTTGCTTTCAGCATCACAGCTGTGCCAGAAAGCCCAAATCAGTCCAGGGATCTCACTTTGCTAAACACCATAACACTGCATGTTACCATAACAATGCAAGGTAAGAGCCAGGCAGCCTCTGGCCCAACGATAAAGAGTCAGAGCAACAGAGGAGGAGAGAGAAGCAGAGAGGGACGTGAAGGTACTTGCCCAGTGCTGCAGAGTAGGTCCAGGGACAAAGCTCAGAGTCAAGTCTTTTGTAGTCCAGTGATTGAATTTAATGTCAGACCACACAAACATTTGCATGGTGGACTGTGAAAGACTTTGCCACACTGCGAATGACCAAACTACTTGTGACGCACAGAGACACTAGCCCTTTGCTAAGGATAGGTCTCACTACAAGTCAAACAAACCTCCAGTCTCCTCCTGCCCCAGCCAATATGGGATCTCTCAAGCACACTTTCTGATGGCATCTGGTTTTGTTTACCTTCTGGTCAATTTTGGTAAGTCTCTCCCCAACCTCTGGAACACACTCAACAATCATGATATCATAGTAGAAATTAGACTGCTAATAAGTTCAGCTTTGTGCTATCAGTAGTTGAAACACTTTCTGTGATGGTTCAAAGGTAACATCGTGAACTGTCACACATGTAAAAGAGACTGGGAAGTGAGGACAGAGACAGCAGGGAAAGCCTTACAAACAACAATGGAGAGCAGTAGTACATATCAGTGTAGATATCAGTGTGCCCAAGAACCAGCACAACCCCCCTGAGAAGCTCTACAGAGACATCTTAGAGCTGTATTGGCTGTAGATGTTTTCCAGAATAGCACCATTCTGCTTCATAGGCATGAATATAGGCTTAGGTTATTGCCAAATGAAATATGGAAGACTTCAGCCTATCAAAACTCCTTTTAGCTGTATTATGAAATTTTAAAACCCTCCTGAAGTTTACCAGACTACAAGGTGGGATTACTATTATAAGGAAATGAATGCATAGCTGAAGGGAAAAGTGTTTTATAGCATCTGATAATACCTTAGGCACTGATAGGACATTTTTGTACAGGTTGAAAATGCATACTTCATTTTTCACTGACAGCTGGTTAAAGGAGGAATGCAGTGAAAAGTCTATAAAAGCTTTTAAAAAAACCCTAAACCTGATAGGTTTGCACTTCTGTTTTTCTCCCACCCATGCTAGTAAGTGAGGCGAAGGTGTTAGCAGTATCTTTTGGACTCATTGCCACCTTGGCCTGTAACCATGCCAGGCAACAGGGAGTCTACAGCACTCCTGAACCAGATATTTTTAGCATAATAGGGTAGAAATATTGGAGGCAACTTTTTACAGAACTCTTTTGCAGCTTGCATGAAGTCTGTGCACTGCCACTCTAGCAGTCTGGCTTTCACTACTCCTCTTCCACTGGAAGACTGGAGTCTGTTCTTACTTCTTTTGGCTCCTCCATGTCTGATACTGCTGATCATTTATTCCAATTTGATATGTTTTCTTCCCTTGATTTTGCAGTACTGTCCTTTCCTCTTTCTCCTTCTACCTTTGGGCCTGCTCCTCCTATATCTCCTTTGGAGACCATGTTCTTTCTTTTTCTAACATTCCCTGGGGCAGCTCTTTCCTCTGTTTCTATTTTCATCTTTTTCCTTCCTCATAACCTGCTCCTTCACACTCCTCTCCTCCTATGACCTCCTATAAACCTCCCAAAACCTCCTGTAGAAGTTTCCTATCTTTTCTCTTGTAGAGAAAATTAGTGCTGTAGAAAAAGATATTTGGTGATCTAATTTCCATTAGCAGATAAAACAGCTTTGATACTTTGGTAATTTCTCCTGAAATATTACAACAGAATAAAACATGGTTATTATTCCTTCTACCCATGTATCTCTGATTTATTATCAGTGTAAGTGTACTTTTTCCTATATAGGCAGCATTAAAAAGTAGGCAGCAAAAAAAGAGATTAAAAAAGAGGCATATGTGGTCATCAAGCATGAAGGTCCAGAAGCACAGAAACAGGTGATTCAGCAAGCTGGAACATTATAATGGCAGGAAGAGTCCTGTAAACCTGTTTTGTTACTGAGCTAGCTGGGCATTTGCTCTGCTAGAGTTCCTGTGTTACATCCCCACAGTCCTCATGTTCCTGTAACGTGGTGGATAACCAGTAAAGCTTTCTGCCAACCAGCAAAGCTCTCTGATCCTGTCTGTGCCCTTTGCATTCTTCCACCCTTATACAAACCCTTCTCTTTCTTTCCAAGAGGGACTCACTTTGCAAACTCCCATGGGCCAGGATCCCATCTTATTTATTTGTCTTGAAAACTTCCCAGCAGTTTTTATGGGAACACCAAACATTCTGATTATTAATATCAAGAAAAATGATATAATGATGAGAGCAGCAGAACTGCTGCTGGCAGAGTTATTTGCAGTCCTGATTTCACACATACAACATGCTGTCCTGATCCTCTGTCCCTCCAGGTAGTATCAGCTGGGGGCTTGGTTTGTTTTCCCTTTTCCAATTCTGCTGCAGGCAGTTTACTTTGCAGCTTCCATCCATTAACCTCAAAGTACTTTTACATAGAGGAATTAATTAAGACTCTTACACACCAGAATTAATTAAGACAGTAGTAGGCATGTTTTATCACCTCCATGGTGCACACGGGGGAACTGAGGTGAAGAAAGAGTTGCTCAATTCTTTTCCAGAGCTGAGAATGTACTTGGGCATATATCACATCCTTTTAACTTGGTGTGTAAGAATATCCTTTCTCTCCTGATGTTGTGAGGCAAATATCCAGTTTACCCAGTAAGTCAGCATTGACACACAGTCCTGTTCTTCAAAATGGAAATGCTGCCCGCAGGCAAATACCTTGGCCAGTCGAATTTCCAAACACATCTTTCTTTCTTATTTCAGACAGAAATAAGCACACAACACAAAAAGCAAACTACTGTAACTCCTGTGGGATCTGATAACATTTCTACTCTGCTAAAGAATTGCCCCAATACCTGAAATCTGTAATCTTATCATGCTGCTTTAACAGACTCTCCCTCTTTCTCAGCATTGACATCTATGCTTCTGTTTGATAAAGAAAGAAATATAAACCTAATGACTTGGGATTTTTCTCTACAGTTCATAAAACTTTGCTCAGCTGACTCTGCTCAATCCTGCTTCCGAAATGCACCAGTGCCACCTGCAGACCACGATAAATAGAGCTGCCAACAAACCAGCGGGACGGGAGCAGCAGTGGCTTTTCTTTTCATCCAGACAAGACCTGCTGGAAAGCCCAGAAGCACATGTATAAACCTGAGCAGAACCTGCACAGTCACATACCGAAGCACAAATGTTCACTGGGAGCAGTACTCCTTTATTTTCATAAATAAACATTAATAAAGAGCAATGCAATATTACTTTTTAATACCTGTCATGAGAAGCCCAGTGTATTCCCCTGCCACTGCACTAGCAGTTCACACTGGGCAGAGCTGGGACCTGCTCCTGCTTCTCCACATCATCTGCCAACTGCTCCTGGGCACAGCACACACTGGAGGTATATATCTGTGTGCCTGTATGTATATAGGCTAGATACCCTATACACATCACATGCTGCAGAATCCTCCAGAAGAGCCCTGCTCTGAAAGAAACCCACCAGAAAGCATGACCCCAGGTAGTGTCACAGCCCCTCCTGCCATATGAGGAGATGCAGGTCTAGTGCATGCCCCAAACTCACAGGTGTACTCTTGCCATGGCTCTTCCCTGCCAAGTTGAGACTGTAAATGAAATGTGCCTGTTCCATCCTAAAGTTTCTTCTAAACCAAAGTATTTAACAGATCCTGTTAACCCTCAACAGAGGTATTTCCTTAAAACTGAACCAGCCTGTCATTAGATATTAAACCAGGTAAGTTTCAGTTACTCAGTTCTGCTTAAAAAATTTGATTAATACCCAAAAATTGGCACAATGCTGTTTAAACAAGAAAGGACAGTTAATTAAATTAACAGTCTCTTTGCTGACATACTACATATTTTATACTTGGTTTGATTATAATGGGCAAACCTCATAATTTTAAAACTAAGCCATTTGCATCTGTAATTAGAGCCAGTTAAAATACTTCTCAAATGAAAGTTTAGGCCTCTGGTATTTTGAATAAAATGTTATCTGTGATATTCGTTCAAATTACACATATTGGACTGGAGAATATTAAATCAATACAGGCTTGAAAATCAAGGTGGGAACTACTTACTTGAGTTAATTTCTTTGACCTTGTCCTAAAGTATTGTTGAGAGAAGAAAGTAAACAGAAAACATTCTACTCACCCACTGTCATCCCATCCATGTAACGCTTGATGATATCAAAGGAATCTCTTAAATTTCCTTCTGTAATGTCAAATATGATATCTGCCTGGTTGGCCGGATATGTAGGTGTGATGGCACGAAGAAAAATGATCTCTGCAAATAAAGAGTATCACAGAATGTACTGACAAGTATTTGAAAACATTGCGGAAGAATCTGACAGAATTCGATCCAAAATGACTTATCCTCAAAGCTGGTGGAGGACATCCCCCTCCCTCACCACTCCCAGTTTGTCCTTTAAAATGGAAAGAAAGAAGATCTGGGGGAAGGGAGGACTTGGATAGATTTATTTTCTCCTCCTGCACAGTCCAAGAAGCCCTGAAGCCAAAACACCCTCATGTTTACAGTCCACTCTTAGAAACCTGCCAGACTTCCAGCAGGCACCCAAAGAGGACAACACAGAGGATCCACAGGGTGGGCAGTGGAAGGAGACCAAAGAGATAAACCCCTCAACTCCAACTCCCTTAGGCAGTTACACCAAGTATTGCCATTACAAATTACAGACTCCTTTGGAGTACTGCAGGAGGGGTTTAGGTTTAAAAATTAAAAGTGAGACTGTTTTTCAAGTCCATTGTGAGGGAGGTGAGTATTATTACTCTCATCATTATCCTCACTTTACATATGATGAGACTAAACCTTGGGGCTGTAAGAATTGAGCCAAGGCCATGCACTGGATTACAGTTTACATCTTCTGGGCTCTGGTAGCACTCTCAGATCACTAGGTCTCATCTTTTTATTAAATCATGAGGACAGACTAATGAGGGTACAGTTTGGGAAGCAGCCTGGGCCAAATCCTTAGCTCTGCTGCCAGTACACCTGGTGAAGCTGAGGGGGTATGTATGGGAGTAGAAGTGGCCATGGGGCATTCCTCCACTCCCTGTGAAGTAGGGCCAGCCAAGGCCTGAAACAGGCCTGACAGAACACAGAGGAGCTCTACGCAGCTAAGGGATTGGTGGTTAAATTATTCCTATGTGAATAACAACTGGGTTGTCTCTTTTCCCACTCCTTCTGCTCTGGATTTCATTTAGGACAGCTTTCTGAGACAGCAAGGCTGAGACTCTCATCAGAAACAGGGTTTTAGGACCTTTAGAAACTCCTCCAAAACAATCTTTCTTTCTTCCATCCCCTTCTCTTCTCCCTGTGTCTGTGCTGCAGAGCAGCAGGGCTGCAGGCAGCCACCCCACCTATGGATGTGTACACAACCCCCAGTGGTGTTGCCAGAAAATCTGTACAAATGCCAAGGAACAAAAACTGGCTCTTGGTCTGCAAGTTTATATGTGAACTCAGAAAAGTGAGTGTGATCCTTAGGAAACTCCAGGATGTGAAAACTCACAGGTACTGCAGAGGACAGGCACTCACTTGGGTGCCTTTTGAAAATCTCATCGTTCTGTCAAGTCCTTGGAATTTCCCTTCCTTTAATCTATATTTTTAAAGACAACACTTTATTTGTTCACAAGTCAAAAATCAGCCAATCACACTACCAGAAAATATATTCAATGTATTTTATGATTAATGTTTGCGTTTAGACATGGACTTTATTCTTGGAAGAAGTCACCTGCCAATAGCAAACAGATGAGAGAAATACATTCAGTATTACTTTACTATGGCAAAGTCTGCAAACAAGGGAAGAAAAAAGTCATGGGACACATGGCTATTATGGGAGTAAATGTGGTACATGGGAATTCAGAGTCAATATTTCCTTAGACTGGGAAGCAGGATGAGTTAGAGTTCCAAATTATTTTCTTTCCTCCATAAAATTAAAACTCCTGGACATCGAAGGTTTTAATTAAGTGACTAGTACACTATAATTTGGAACTGTGCAACCATTTTACTGCACCGGTAGCTACTCTGGCTTTAGGCAAGGATTTACGGTGGAGGTTTTATATGCTGTAGTCTATTACATGGAACAAGGAACAAACCACTTACCTTCAGGTCTTGTAAATTCTCTGAACGTGGGCAGTGAAATGACAGTGTGGGAAATCGTGTGCACTGGATCCAACACACAGTTGACATCATTTGGTCGACAAGACTTAACGCAGCGAATCGTGTCTGTCTTTTCAAGTCTGACACTAAAAGAAACAAAAAAGGGATGTATACATATCCTGAAAATTCATTCCTTTGTGTTTCGCAGTGTAGGGAGATAGAAACTGTAATTGATATGTGTTCTTTCTTCACCTCAAAAACTTAAGACAAATGCAGATCTCCAGAACATCCAGACCACTGAAAAACTTGCCTTGGTTCAGAGCTGCAGTCAAACCCCCCTCAAACCCAGCTCTTCAAGCCTGGCAGGAAGAGCTGTAGTGCATAAGATGCCATGTAAAGTCTCTTTCCAAGGACAAACAGGACCAAGCAATGAGGCACAGACCCTCAGCTGCAGTGCCCAAGCCTGGTCTCACCAGTTTCAATACAGCTGCACTTACTTGCACAAGACTTTTTTACTCAGTCATATAAAAGCAGAAACAATTGTTTCCATTCTAGAAATCTGGCAGGAAATATGTGAAGGGCCCACTTTCTTTCATGATTTTCAGTGCAGCAAGGGCCAGAAAAGCCTCCCTTAAGTCTCTTTTTCACACCCTCCCTTTCCATCTGAACTGAGAAAACAGAGAGAAATGGAAACCAGGGGATGAAAAAAAGCTAACCACATTATTTAAAACCTTAAAGATTGAATTCTGAGTTTGGGGAAATAGTAAGGGTCATTTCATATTCCATCTCAACCAGCTGCTCATTCGGCCTTGAAAGTCTATTAAAAGTTAAATGACTTCTTCTCACCCTTGTCCACTAGAGTGAATTTAAAGTCACTTACAGTTCAAGAACTTCACACAATGCCCACTCTGTGCTCATGAGAGATGAAAGAGCTGTGCTGGGACTTACAATGTGACTAAGCCCCACAAATGATCTCAACTTTGACCTGCCCATTTCTTCATATTTCTAAGTGGAAAAAAAGAAAAGTGGGCAGTGTTGGGGGGGGGGAATTAAAAGATTAGAAGGGAGAAAAATTCACTGAGTAAAAGGGAAACAAAAACGGAAGCTTTAGTTTTCAGATACCACTAGAAACTAACTTGCTCTTTTCAAAATGTGCTATCCAAGTCCACACCTACAAACCATCTTTTTTCAGATGTTCAAAGGGACTTTATGGCTCTATTAATAATCAATACATCAGTAACTTCTTATTACATTCGACCCACATTTGCTCATCAAAGAAAACAAAGCCAAACACGGTGATACTGTATGAAAGTAAAAAAAAGAGAAAACATGAATCAACGTCAAGGAAATCAGCTTCAACAGATGGGAACTGGCATGGTCCATGGAGAGGCAATGGAGCTGGGCTAATTTACACCAGCTGAGTCTGGCTTGGTATTCACACTCTGTAGCTGATGTTTTCAGACTGGCCAGAAGATACAGGCCAGAAGAGACCTTTTACTTCCTACCATTACTTGGGTACAAAATCTTGTCATTTCCTAGACACCTCCAGGGAACAGAATAAGGTTTTCTGCTGAAATGTCTCTTGCTGGTCATTTTAGAACAAATAAATTCTGGATGTACGAACATGTCTGACCTATGACAACAGATTCAATTCCCTTGTTCTAAACCTCAGCTGCCAAATTAAGAAGGGACTTCTAGCTGGCAGATCATCATGCCTGTGAAATAAGGATCAGCTAAATTGCATAGTCTAGTTCCAGGGTAAAGTGGTCTATTTCAAAATATGTAATAAGTAAAATTGAGGGTAAATGAGCAAACATCATTCACATTTGTTTTCCTCTCCCTTTTCTTTTCCTTACTGCGTAGAGAGGAGTTCACTAGATACCCATATAAAACCATTGCATCCTTCCTCAGGATCCTCAGGATCCTGCTGAGCTGAACAGCCAAGGCTCACAACAGCCAAACCCCACTAGTTCTACTTCCAATAATATGTTTACAAATTCTGAAAAAGTTCTTTAAAAACTTTTCTCCAACATATAAAGAATAACTATAGCATCACCTAAAGGTTTAGGGGACACCAACAAACAGTAGCTCTATTTTGGGACACTACTACTAATAAAGTACTAATAGAGCACTCTAAATTTCCATAGCTGTATTTAGACAATAGAATTTGTATGCAAAAAACATTGTGGTGGAAGTGTCTGGGGCCTTCAGAACTGATGTGCCTTTGCTCCTTCCTGGGAAGAAATGGAAGCTTAACTCTCAACTTCAGCTGGAACAAAATTTGGGGAATACAAATATTTCTGAAATTCTCCTCCAAAAAAAGACATGATTTGGTGTAAGATGAAGTCCTAAGTAAGACCTGCATTCACAACTTGTGGAGTAAAGCCTTCTCACATGCAACAGGTGCCCTGCAGACAGAAATGGAGGATCACAATGGTCACAAGTGTCCGTTCTCAACTAAAACAAGTTTCTAGATCCACCCAGCTCGTAACCACGTGTGACAGATACACGTCTGTGTCAGCTCTAGGTCCTTGCACTGTTTGTCTCTCCTCTTACAAATCCCACAAACTGGGTTTTTTTTGGTGTGCTCGGTCCACACTGCTAAACTTGAGTTTGCACTTCCATTTCTCCCTGCGTAAATACTCATTCTCTGATCTCCTTCCTTTTGATATTCTTTCTAGTTGCCTCAGCATATGCAGAGTGAGGTCAATAACACTTTGTTCTCTCATTCCTTCAACACCACATCTTATAGACATCTTCTGGAGTAACTCCTCTGACAACTAACGTCTATTTCAAATCCTGTTATTTGTTACTAGTGATGTACTCTGATCTGAGAATACTTTTTAATTTTATCTTTACACATCACCTTTGTGTTTAATTTTCTATTAGATGATTTTTTCCTTTTTGCTTATGTTCTACAGTGGGGACTAAGACCCATCAAACTTTCTTCCTCAGTGCTGAGAACTTTTTTGTTCAGTCTGTCCTTCAGGTTTTCCCCTGTAACAAAAATTGCAGCTTCGCAGCTGGTCCTTCCTCTAGGCCTTTTTCATTTATACAAGGTTAAGAAACAGCTCAGTTGCTCTGATTATTTCCTGAGTCTACTTTTTTCTTCCTTCCTGGATCCTGGTATCATTCCTTTTCACATTCTCAGTAAGTTCTTTGGATCAGGAGCTGTGATTTCATTTTCATTTGGAAAGAACCACACATATAAATGGCACTACATAATTACATTCCTGAAAGTTCCAGTGACACTGCAGCGTTAAACACCTAACACAGGAGAATGTGAGCTCTGTGTTTTGAACTTCTTGCTGAGTGAAATTCATACGGCAGCACTTCACAATACTGAGGGCCAAACTCTCACACTCCCTTCTTTTCCTGCCAAACAAATATATATTAATGCTTGCAAAAAATGAAGTTTATTTTTGAATCTTTATCCTACTTAATTATGGCCTCATAATGAGCTGGTAGCCAGAAGGCATTTATATGCAAGCACCTTCTGTGGCAGTAATAAACCCCATTAGCTCAAGTAGCATGGGCTTGTGCCTTCAATATTTAAAGCTGGGACTCTATCCCCACTGGCAACTTCTGGCAGCTTTATAAGTATGTGTCAACAGGCTTATTAAACACGAGCATTCCTCAAGAGACTTGAACTCCTGTCAGCCAGCTGGGATAAACTTTGCCTTGGGGAACATGTAATACTCTGGCAGAGTGCTGCGATCATGCCCCAGTCTAGGCCTTGGCTGAGGATGAGCCTCAGAGCCTGCAGCTCACAGCCAATAGAGTATTCCTTGAGCTCAGGTGATTAAGGCTTGTGATCTTGGTTTGGAAGATTCCCAGTTTCTACCCTTGCACCCTGACTGTGCTGACACAGTGAAGCTTGTTTTTCAATATGTGCATTCACATGGATTATTCCCCATCCACCTACAGACTGACTGTTCTGCCATGTACAGGGCAGCAGAGATATCTGAGCCCAGGGGGGTGTAAAGCAACATTCATTTTTCATCATACCTCTGGGACTGAGATTTTAATATTTATTAACACAAGGACTGAAGACTATAATAAATCCTCTTCCAAAGAAATTCCAGTTGAATTGTCTACATTGTTCTTGACTGCACAGAAGTAAATTAAGTAAGTGAAAGTAAAAGGAAGAAAGATTTGGATATTGGAATTCTGGCTGACCTTCAGGGTTCCCAGGGTTTGGCTTGATGGTAGTGGTAGGTAAAGTCTTTACTGTTCAGAATTTATCAACTTTGATATGGAAGTTGGAGAGACACCAATTACATATCTTTTCCAAATGCTCCTGCAGACCCCTCTCAGGACACAGTCCGTGAAACAGAGGAGCTCTCTGCTATTAGCTGAATGCTGTCAGGAAGTTCATTGCTGTTTTCCTGTCATGAGTTTTGCCATTCAATGGAAACTCCACAGAAAGCAAGATGAAAGATCTCTAAAATAAATGTTCTTTAGAGGAGATTCTCTTTTGTACCATCCTTTAAACTTAGAACTGGGATCTGTACCTGGTGGAAATCAGCACTGGCTACAACACAGCAATGATAACTAGCACAGCTTGAGAATCTGGCTCCACACTCCCAGTGACCTGTGTGCTGGGGCACCTCTGCAGTCCCAAGGGCCTAAGGCATGCCCTTTAACAAATTTTCAGAAAATGCCCAGTATTTTCTCTCTGACTGATGAAATTCTCTAAAGATGTCCCAGTTGAGACAGCTCAAATTATGTACCTATTTCATTTGGAAAATTTAGACCTAAACATATGCAGCTCTGTATCACCAGATGAGACCAGCTCCACTACTGTGTGAAGTAAATGAACAGCTTTCCAGACCTCAGGATATTCAGGTAATAAGCTCTTGGACACCAATCTCTCCTTTGTATAATGATGCAGAATACATAGAAGAATCTCCCCAAACTGAGAGGTTCAGTTATAGGGGAAAGTGAAGAACTGTAATGATGATGGCAAATAAAATGCAAGTGCAGCGTGCAAGGGATGAACTAAAACTTTATTAAAACTGGGGGCAAAAAAGCTACTCTTAGAAGAGAGAGAGCAGCCAGTGATGACTGTAAGTTAGGGATCAAAGCTGTGCAGAAACAAAGATAAAAAGTTTGGCAATAAATGTGTTGACAGTTCCATGGCGGG